CGGGGCCTGGGTGATGGAGCTGTGGGCTTGGCAAGCTTGGAGGAAGGGGCTTCAGCGGGGCACCCCCCACAGCTCCTGCAAGCAGCCTTCAAGGCAGACATCGCTAAGAAAACGTGGTGTCCCTGGGGACCGAGTCCTGGGACTCCCGGTGCCCAGGCCGAGGGGAGGTGGCCCTCAAAGGCTGGCACACTGTCCCAGACCAGCCTCCACTGCGCTCCGCTGCCGCTCAACCCTGGGCCCTGGTTTACTTCCTAGGACAGGCTGCGGGCCCAGCAAGCCTTGTGCTCCCTCCGTGGCCCCCTCCAGCGCTGTGTTCAGTTGTCCCCTGAGAAGGAGCCTGGAGGGCAAGGGGTGCCTTTCCTCTTACCTGCCAACTAGAGCTAAACCTGGGCCCACGTGGCTGCCCCCCGCCCCCCGCATTTGAGACGGGAAGGAAAAGGCGCACTGAGTGAGATGTGGGGGCAGACCCCCGGGGGGGGGGGGCGATGGTGCTGGGCACAGAGGGCGGAAATGCCCAGGGCTCCACCTGCAGCTCCCAGGACCCTCCCTCTCTCCACGACCCACGAGCAAGGCAAGGCTGCGGGGAAGAGAGGAGAGGGCAGCCCTGGCAGAGCCACCTGGATGGGGACGGGGGCACAGGGGAGGTGGGGGTTCCCCCTGGGGCTCTTTAGGCAGCGTCTGTCTGTGGTTTTGTTGCTGCTGAAACACAAGAATAAGCCGCTGGTTTTAGGTCTGTGTCCCTGCCCCTGTCCCAGGATGCCCGGGGGGAGGGGCTCAGGGAGTCTCTCTCCTCCGGACCCAACCCCTCCCCAACCCCCCCGGCAGGAGATGAAAGTCCAGTGGAAGAGAGGTCCTGCTTTAGATCCGTTTCGGTGGTTTTCCTTTCAATTCAGCTTAAGGCAAAAGTTTGGCAAAGCAAGTCTACATAAGGCCGCGTGAGGGAGGGCGGGGGGGGGGCGCGTGGGAGAGCCCGGCACCCACGGTCAGTAAGAGCGGGCCTGTCACTCATCAGCTCCCCCTCCTCCCGCCCGCACCTCCTAGAGAGGCGTCTAAAGAAAAAGGACTGAAAGCAGTTGTGTGGGGCGTCTGCTGCAGGTGAATGAAACTGAGGAAAGGAGAGGAGAGGGAACCCCAGTGACAGGAGGGCGCTCCTGGGGTTCATCTTACTCTGTCCCCCTTGGTCTCCCCCTCCCCGCGAGGCAGCGGCTCATCAGAGAGGGCAGAGGCCATCGGGCGTGCGCACAGTGAGACCCCGCGGGACAAGGTAGAACGGTTGTATTTTGCTGGATGCTGGGCGTCCTCGTGGGGCTGCTGGAGCGGTCTCATGGCTGGAGTCGGAGCTGGCGGCGCCCCGGCCGCTGCTACCGGTGCTTGGGCGGGATCACCACCAGCGGCTGCCCGTACTTGGGCCGCCACATGAGGACCTGAGCGTCGTTGGCATTGGGCTTGACCAGGGCGCTGGGCGGGATGGGCTCGTTCCTGCTCAGGATCTTGGGCTGGTCCTGCGCGATGGGCTCCCGCAGGCGGGCGCGCTGGCCCAGGGGCCGGCTGGGGTTCACCTCGATGCTGAGCTGCATGCGCCAGTGCAGCGTCTGCAGGATGATCATGTCGTTGGTCGAGGTGTTGGTGGCCACCAGCCACGTGGTGAAGCTCTGGTCCCGGTAGATGTTGGTCAGCCTGGCCACGTTGCTCTCGCTGACGGGCACGGCCCACGTGACGCTGGGGTAGAAGTTGTCGTTCATGCTGATGATGAACTTGGAGTCCCTCTTGGTGGGGCCCACGATGGTGCACGTCTCCGTGGTGTTGCCGTACCAGGGGTAGTTCACCCCGTCCGAGTCACTGATGGCCTGGATCTTGCCCTCCAGCAGGTCCGGGAGCTCCCAGCTGGACCTGCGGACGGGAAGGCAGTGTGCTCAGCCGGCCGCCCACAGGCCGCCTGCCGCCCCTGCCCGGGGGCTCACTCCCGGGGGGCCAGACAGTAAAGAGACATCTGACATCACGGCGGCGAACAGGCTCCCCCAGCATCACCCCCCTCAAAACCCACCCTGTTCTCTTGCATCGTCTCGAATCGGTCTCCCCCTGAAACCACTGCCGTCCCGCTGGCTCCCAGCGGGGCTGCGGGAAGCCCTGGCTGCCCAGCCCGAGGGGATGGGGAACAGGAAGGAGAGCCCTGCCCGCTGTGCCAGCTGCTGTTGGGACAGCCACGTGGGACCGTGGCTGAGGCAGAGGCAGAGGCCCCGAGAGGCTGGGCCCCTTAGCGCGTCAGGGGGCCTGCAGCAGACGCCGGCTGCCCGCCCCTCGGGTCCATGACTTTCTCTTGCTTTAAAGGCCACACTTCAGAGCCCAGTGGCCACGGGGTTAGCACATCTGGGATGAATCCTGGCCCCTCCATTGACCAGTGCATGACCTGGGCAATGCCTGCCCCCTGAGCTTCAGTGCCCACACCCGTGAAAGGGGGAGCTTCCGGCCCCTCCTCCTAGCACAGGTCTTGGGTATAGAACCAGCACCCAGGGCCCTCTGCTTAGGGCAGTGGTTCTCAACCTTCTGGCCCTTTAAATACAGTTCCTCATGTTGTGACCCAACCATAAAATTATTTTCGTTGCTACTTCATAACTGTAATGTTGCTACTGTTATGAATCGTCATTGTAAATATCTGACATGCAGGATGGTCTTAGGCGACCCCTGTGAAAGGGTCGTTCGACCGCCAAAGGGGTCGCGACCCACAGGTTGAGAACCGCTGGCTTAGGGGCTGGCCTCTCACCTCCGTGTCTCCTCTCCCTCATGGGAGTCTGGGCTCCCAGGCCCTCCCCCAGGCCACAGCAAGCACCTGAGGCTTCCAGGGACCCAGGTGCCCCTTCCCCCCACCCCCCCTTCCTTTCTGCTCATGCCTGCCTAGAAGAGGAAGCACCATGCAGCCGGGATCGCTGGCCAGTCCCTGGAGCAGTAGAAACAAGAAAGCCTAACCAGCCCGTCTCAGTGCGCTCAGCCCCGCCTCTGGGAGGCAACCGCGCTTTGCTGCCCAGCAGCCCGCACTGGGCTTTTGCTGCTAGAGGCCTAGGGGCTTAGCCTTCCTGGGGCGGGAACAGGCAGCCGGGGTGCCCAGAGCTCAGACTCTGGAACCCCACAGGCCTTGCTGCCAGTCTCAGCTGCCCCCTCCCTGGTGGGAGACCCCGTGCAGACACATGTCCCTGCTGGGGTCACTGAGGAAGACAAGAATGTGCCAGCCCAGGACAGAGCACAAAGTAAATGCCCGTAGCTGGTCGCTGCCAGCACCACTGCCGTCACTATTGTTGCTATAACAACGCTCAGCCCGTCCAAGCTGCTCCGAGGACACAGCAGTGTCGGGAGCCCCCCTTAGGGACGATCAGCAGTCACGTGCCCCACTGCACAGGTGAGGAGCGCGCAGCCGGGCCCGGGCTTGTCCCAAGGTGACCGGGCTAAGCAGTGGCACTCGGACCTGGGCAGCCTGGCGTGGTCCAGGGCTGGTTCCGCCCGGGCCCCTGTGATGCCAGCCCAGGACGCTTGGCACTCAGAGTGCTGCACACCCGCACTCGCCACAGGTGCCCTGGGGACCCCTGCCTTGCCCGAGCGTTCCTGCTTGCAGCAGCAGCATTCACGGCAGCCCAGAGGCGGGAACAGCCAGTGCCCAGGGTCAGGTGATGGACAAACCTGTCCATCCACACGATGGAGCATCATTCAGCTGTAAAAGGAGAGAAATTCTGACACCTGCTACAACACGGAGGAGCCCTGAGGACATGATGCTGGGGAGTAAGCGGACATAGGACAGACACTGTGTGATTCCATACACACGGGGTCCCCGGAGGAGTCAGTTCACAGGGACAGGAAGCAGGATGGTCACCGGGGGCTGAGGGTTCGTGTTTAATGGGGACAGAGTTCCCGCTTGGGGTGAAAGCGCTGGAGATGAGTGCGCAGCCCTGTGCATGTGCTTAAGGCCACTGAGTTAAAAATGGCCCAGATGGAACTTTTATGTGTATCGCATCACAGTAAATAAATGCATTCCTCCATGGAAACACATCATGCAACGTTGGCACTTAGCAAAGTTGGGGACACTATCAGAGGAATGATCACCGACGTGACTTTGCTAACTTTTGGTTTTCTCCATCTGCCTCCTGTTTATTTTACTGAAAGTCACACATTAGGATGGCACCTGCCTGGGTAGCCGTCTCCTGCCCAGGGCCTTGAGTTCATCTCTCAGAGGGAGCCTGGGCAGCAGCTCAAACCACCTCACATTTCTCACGTGCCCACGGGTCCCCACGATCTCGCCGCTCTGCCCTCCCAGCCCCGCCCGCTGCGGCGGAGGCCCGCTTCGAAGGCACCCGCTCCGTCCGCTCCCGGCGGTTACGTGCGCTTGCAGAAACATTGTAGAAGGCAGAAAGCAAACTTGCAAAAGGAACTTGGCGCTTCCTTGGCCCCCTTTCACTTCCTGAGCTGGCTTGTTTGGGGAGTGGGAACTTCCCAGTATCACCACGGCCTCCCTCTCTGCCTCTGACCCCAAATTCCAAAATGCCTTTCCTGCCCCAGCCCCCAAAGGCTCAAGCCCCTGCTCAGCCAGACGGGACGGTCCTCATGAGCTGGCAGACAGCGTGTCTCGTGGGCTCTTACTCAGAACCAGGGCCAAGGCATCTGTTTCCGAGTCATCGCCAGCCAGCATGGCCCGGCCTGGTCCCGCGGCCGGAGTGCCCATCGAGGAGGTGGGAGGGAGGGGGGTTAAGGGCACGGCTTCTGGGGGCCACAGGCCAGGCCTGGGTCTGGTCTCAGTCCGGCGCAGATCAAGTCACAAATCTCTGAGTTGGGGGTCACCATCGGCCCACTGTGGACAGCCCCGCCCACCTTGCACGGTCTGGGGGTGACCACATGCGTTGATGTCTATTACCTGGGTCACAGCAAACAGCAATTCGTGGGGACTTCTGGGACCGCTGGAGGGAGGTGTGGGCTCTTAGGCTCGGCCGGCCCTGATTTGACCTCACTTGTGGTTTCAGACTCCACGTGCTCTGCAAGGAGTGGATTCCACGCAGTTGGGCCTCCTCTGAGATTTCCTGCTGGTTCTGGAATGACCTTGGGCGTCGAGGCCGACCTTCAGTGCTTTGCCCACAGGGCGGAGTGGGGGCTCGGACCCCGGCCCTGCACACACTGAGCAATACAGTGTCTGACTCGCAGATGCCACCAAAAGGGGTGAGTAAGCAAGGCTCCCAGCACCAGGCCTGTGCACAAGTGTGCAACCGACGGATCTGCTTGGAGGTGGGAACACGCCTGCTCCTGCCCCAGGTCCACAGGCCTCGGTCCACCTGCCCCACCACCTTCTCTCCAGACCCCGGCTGTGCTGGGTCCTTGCAGGTGTAGGAAGGCAAAGGACAGCAGGGAGTCCAGGCTTGGCGCCAGACCTCAGCCGCCTTCTGGGCCCCCCAATATCACGTCAGAAAGGGACCCCTCGGCTTCCCTCCACACCCAGCTCCGTCTGCAGTCCCCACCAGCACCCACTCAACGAGAGTTTGCAGAGCACCCGTCACTGACGCTGGCCACAAGCTGGGAGAGAAATGTTCAGGGTGCCGCCCTGGTCCACAGAGATGGTGGGGGCCCCATGCCCCCCAGCCAGCCCCACCATTCCTGACTCTCCCCCCCTGCCTTGTGACAGTCCCCCCTTCTCCCTGACTTCACCCCAGCCAGCAGCCCCAGGGCCTCCCAGCCTCCCCTCTCACCCCCTGCAGAAGCCTGAGTGATCTTTTAAAAACACACTAATCCAGTGGTTCTCAACCTTCTGGCCCTTTAAATACAGTTCCTCACGTTGTGACCTAACCATAAAATGATTTTCGTTGCTACTTCATAACTGTAATGTTGCTACTGTTATGAATCGTCATGTAAATATCTGATATGCAGGATGGTCTTAGGCGACCCCTGTGAAAGGGTCGTTCGACCGCCAAAGGGGTCGCGACCCACAGGTTGAGAACCGCTGCACTAATCGCACCATCCCTCCCTCCGACCCTGTCAAACCTGCCATGACTCCCCATGACCCTTAAAGCCGATATCATTGAAGCCCAGGTCCCATGCACACACATGTGTGGGCACAACACACACACACACACACACACACACACACTCGCCCTCCCCAGGCTGCAGACCCTCTAACCACTCTCAGTTCCTCTAATGGGCCCGCCCCGCCCCACAGGGCCTCCCCCGGAGCAGCGCCGGGCCTCCCCGTGCTCCTGGCTCAGCTCTGGAGTCCCCGGGAAGCCCACCCTCGCCCTCCCACGAGGCCGATGCCAAGCGGTGCTCCTGCTGCTGCTTCCTGGCACACTCGCGGGTGATGAAATAATCACGTGATCATTGTTGAGGATCTCGGGAGGCAGGGCCAGACCTCGGATCTACGCTGGAGCCTGGACCAGTGCCTGTGGGCAGGGCGGAGCCCACGGGACCCTCACCCGAAGCTGCGCTGCTGGTGCGCCCCTCGCCTGAGCGCTGCGGCTGGCAGTGCCAGTCCCACCGGGGCGTCCCCACAGCAGCAGCACGTTGGCCACCCTACGTACTGGGCACCCTACGTACGTTCTCCCGTCCTGGGCTTCACCTCAGCCTGGGCCGGGGTTGCGGGGCGCCTTTCATAGGGGACACTTGGAGATGTTGGAGGCCTGGCCCAAGGTCACATAACCAGGGAGGCGCTGGGCCAGGACCCACAGCCTGAGCAACTGGCCTCCAACGGACCCTCGCTCAACACACGCACACAGACATGCACACAGAGACACATAGAGAAACACAGACATACACATACAGAAACAGACACAGAGATGTCCACACACGTGCACGTGTATACACACACATGCACATATGTGTGCACGCACACACAGCTCTGAGCAGCACGTCTGACTGAGAACGCGGGTCTGAAGGGGTTACAGCAGGACCGTCCCTGGAGCTGGAGAAGGGGTTGAGGCTGCTGAGGCCACAAGGGCTGGGACGGTCACCCTGTGGCTCCAGGCCCAGCCACCCGTCCCAGCAGGCCCAGTGCAAGGCCTCTCAGTAGAGGGCAGAGGAAACCAGGGAGGCCCGAGGCCCAGGGTGTGCGGGGGAGGCCCTCCTGGGACCACGGGGGCACAGCCCTGGCTCCTGCAGACCCAGCCAGGCAGGGTGGTGAGCCCGGGCCTGGGCTTGGGCCTGACGCACCCCTGGGGGCCCCTCCCCCTGGGTGTGGACGGGACTCTGACTGCGGACCCAGCCCCCTCGGCCTCAGCAGTGAGCCGACTTCCTGTCTCTTCACTGGGGTCCTGTGCACACACGTCCTGCACTGTTTTCCTTCAAATCAATCATTTTTTAAAAAACTCAACTAAACTTTTCCTAAGAAATACCTTTGAAATAACAGAGATGCTAAATACATATCGATATGTTTTTTCTCATATATATTAAAATAAATGTGCTGCTTTAAATTCAAGTGACACTAAGCTGACACTAGTCTCACGGCGCCCGCTGGGCACTGAGAAACAGTCACGGGAGGACCGAGGCTCCTGCCGGCTGGTTTCCGGGCCCTGGCTTGGGGCACCCAGGGATGGTCTCGCCTCGTCCTCAAGAAAACAGTTTTGACAATTTGCAAAAAGTTCAAATTCTGCAAATTTTTGCAATTTTACAGAAACTGAGGCCCAAAAGCCACCCTGAAGCCAGAGTGGGACCCCGGTTCCCTGACTTCTGCCCCAGGCGGGTGGGCACCCACCAGGCTGGCCCCCCACCAAACGGGTCACGGACGCCTGCTCTCTGGGGGAGGGGCTGCAGTGCCCCCCTCTCCCCACCTGCCCTGGGTCCCCAAACACTAGCCCCACGCTGCCCTGCGCCCCTCTCCACCCAGGCCACGCCGGCCCTGGGCCTAACAGGAAGGAATAGACCAATGCTGCCTGTTTAACTTCAGTTCTTAGTCGTAAAAGCTGTGCTTTTTTTTTTAGCGCCAGCCGCAGAGAAGTGCACAAAGTGAGAAACGAAAGCGTCTCTTCCGCGCCGCCCGCCTCCCCGAGGTAGGTTACCCGCCGGTAAACATCCTTCTAGACCAGCGGTTCTCCACCTTCCTCATGCCGCGACCCCTTAATACAGTTCCTCATGTTGTGGTGACCCCCAACCATAAACATTATTTTCGTTGCTACTTCATCACTGTAAATGTTGCTACTGTTATGAATCGTCATGTGAATATCTGATATGCAGGATGTATTTTCATTGTTACAAATTGAACATAATCAAAGCATAGTGATGAATCACAAAAACAATATGTAATTATATATGTGTTTTCTGATGGTCTTAGGCGACCCCTGTGAAAGGGTCGTTCAACTCCCAAAGGGGTCGCGACCCCCAGGTTGAGAACCGCTGTTCTAGACCTTACACACACACACACACACACACACACACACAGACACAGTCTACGTTCCCATTGTCACGACGTCTTTTTAATGAAAAATGTCTCCCTGAGTCTTTTACAGCTTATTTCCAATGCCATCTAGAATCTGATCGGTTTCCCTCGTGGGAGCCACCATAGTCCACTTACTGATCTTTTTCATTTTACCCAGATCCGATCCGCAAAAACATGGACGTGTGTTTAATTTATTTCCCTGATCATGGCGCCTTTGTTTGGGGCACTCGGTGGTGAGGGTTGGGGGATCCCTCGGCTAGAGCCAGTCCGGGGGAGTTCCCTTTGGCCGGGCAGTCCCCCGCCACTTCCGCCCACCCCAAAGCCTGGAAACGAGGACTTCCCTCTCCCACCCACGCCGCCCGCCCTTGGCCAGGCCCAGCAGCCGGGGGAGGCCACCTTCCGGTCGCAGAGAGGAAGCAGCATCCTCGATTGTTCTGTGCGGGGCCCCTGGCTCAGGCCCGGCTGCAGGAAGAGGCCATGTGGTCACCGGCCGTTCCTCGGCCTGTCCCAGGCTTCCTTGGGCAGTGCCTTCAGGCCTCGGGCTGGTTCCTCCTCCTCAGATGAGGTCCTTGGAAAGTAACAGAGAGGAGTGGGAGCAGGCCCCGCTGCACGCCAGCAGCTCCAGCGCTCCAGCGCCCCAGCCCCAGGCCGCAGGCCCCTCCAACCTGCCCAGCCCTTCCTACCAGCTCACCCTGAGGCAGCCCGTGCCGCTCCACCTTCTGGCTGGAAAGACCCTCACACATCTCATCGTCCAGGGCGCTCACACTGTAGACGGGTGCGTGAAACCCAACCCCGAGAGGAGGCAGCCCAGCGACAACACAATATAGCCATCTTTATGCTGACGCTGCCGGCGTTGCTCATTAATAATTAATCACCAGCAGTTATGACATTGACAGCTACCACGGATCCAGCCTTCTGACCACCAGGTGCTGTGCTAGGTGCTCGCGATGCCTGCCCTCACGTAACCCTCACCACCCTGCGTGAGGGAAGGCCTGTTGTCCCCACTTCACAGATGGGAACGGTGAGGCTCAGAAAGGTTGAGAGACGGGCCCAAGGTCTCAGCACCAGTGAATGGCGGAGCTGGGCCCACGCCCTGCTGCTCTCCTCCCCTCCCCCCAGGTCTGCCCTTTGGCAGAACCCAGAGCCAGAACTGAACCAGGCCCTTGGCATAGCCGTGGGCCAGATTCCCGTGGGGGCTCCAGAGAGGGGCAAACTGGGGACAATGTGAAGCGTCTCCCACTCAGGCGAGAAACTGTGACTTGTCACTCAGAAGACTGTGCCAGCTGACAGGTGGCGGTTGAGGAATTGCGGGGGACGGGGCTGTGGAGGCAGGTGTCTCCAACAGTTTGGGGTGGAGGGGGGAGAGGGAGGCTTTGAAAGCAATGTGGGTTGGACCCAGAACCATATAGCATCCTTTCAAGCTGGCTCGGAGAAGCTCAGCATTGTATGGCTGTCTGTGGGAGTCACATTATTGTCCCCCTTCAAATATTTCAGACCCAGATTATCATTCTAAAAAGTTCCCCTGGATTAGAGATTAATCTCTAGCAGGGATAATGTTTGGGGATATTAATAGGTTTTGGTTAAGTATTTGGAATTAATATTTTGAGTACAAGGCATGTGTAATGGGCCCACCTCGGGCCACTGAAGCCCAGTGCGTGGGTTTCATTTGAATGATTCAAATTGTCTGGGTCTCGTCCGGTGGTTCTCAACCAGCGGTGGCTTCCCACCCCTCCCAGGGACAGCCGGCCGTGTCTGGAGACACTTTTGGTTGTCACAACAGGGCTTTGGGGGGCTGCTGTCATCGAGCAGGTGGAAACCAGGGGCTCTGGACCACGTCCTACGACACACAGCACAGCCTCTGGTCCCGGCGAAGCCAGGGCGCAGTTCTGGGCAGCGGGAGGCCCCTGGGCAGCCCGCCGGCTCCTCCCTCCTCACTCTCATGTCGCGGGGCTTAAAGACATGAAGAGTGGCTGGGGGTCGGGGAGATGGATGGGAAGGGTGTTTGCGTCACACACTCAGGCCTCCTCTAAGCTAGCCCTTCCCGTTCCCAGTGGCTCCGGCTCAGAACAGCCGCCTGTTCGGTGATTCTTAAAACGATTTTGTTGATTAATAGTAAGTCGAGCAGCTTCCAACTCAGCATTTCAGCCCCGGGGCGTCACCTACACGAACCATCTCACGAACCCTCACCTACCCCTGTCCTCTCTCGAACCCTCACAGCGGCCAGTGACAGCACTGACCCTCAAGCCCCGGCGTCACCACTGGTCAGTCGTTCCGACCCCAGGGTCTGAGCCCATGAAGGACACGACCCTCCCAGGGAGCCTTAAACTCTGCCCCTCTCTGGGACTGGGCCCCTCCACCCGGGATCAGGAGCCCAGGAGGGTGGGACGCCGACACAGAGGGTCCTGACCAACAGAGGGGTCCCAAGGGGAGGGGACAGACCCAGGGAAGCAGGTAGACAGCCAGGAAGCCGGCCGTCAGCCCTTTGGAAACGCCAGTCGCTCACAACTATTTCAAAACTTGTAGAAGTCGGGGAGTTGCCCTGTGTCAGAAGAGGAAGCCGGGGCCGGGGAGAAAACTCGCTGCAAGAGTTACCCATGTCGGTCGGCATTCTGATCTCAGCCACGATTTTCAACTCATTACAGATGCGGTCGCTGCCTCCCCATCAGAAAATCACCCCAATTACCATCACAGCGAGGGCCGCTCGCCTTGAGTATTGTGCCGGGCGCTTGGCGTGCCGCCGACTGCTTGACAAGCGTCTCCCATCATTCTCACAATGAGCCATGGCGCAAGGGCTAGGACGCCCCCGTTTGCAGAGGAAGAAACCAATGGTCAGAGTGGCGCAGGTCACACCCTGGAGAGCGGCAGAGCCTGGACGGCCGCCCAGGGCTGGGTGACTGCAGCTGAGGTGCGCCCTGGGCTCCCCACCCAGGAGGCAAGGACTGGCACAGGAAGAGAAAGGTCGTCTCGGGTCTCCAGGCTCGGGCCTGCCTCCAGCCAGTGCCTGGGCGTCGCCAGAGCCGCCGCACAGAGGGCAAGGCCTGGAGGACTGGAAACCCTGTGCACAGATGGGAAGGCTGAGGCTCCGAGCCAGGCCTGTGCCCTCGCGCCCCACATCACATTCACCTCATCACATCACACCCCTTTCTCCCTCCCGGCGCCCGCGCCCTCCCTGTGCTGAAGGGCCCCTGCCTACCCGACCCCAGAGCCTGGCCTGAGGCCCTGGAACCCCTTCCGTCCTCCAGTTGCCCGGATGCCTCGCAAAGCCCCGAAGGCTTCGAGCTTACGGCTTCTTAGGAAAGGTTCACACCAAATAGCTGAGGCTCACGTTCCCTCTGGAATGGGAAGTCGGCCCCCAGCCTGGATTAAGGGCCGCTTTCGGGAATTAAAGGGCTTGGGCGTGGAAACAGGTTGGCGGAGGATCGTGAGTGTCCGTCTAGATAGGCCTCATCGGGCGATCGCGGTTACGCCCTCGTCTAAGTTGGACTGTGTTCCCGTTTCCCTTATAACTCAGTCAGTGGTGGAGCAGCCGTAGCATTTGGTGTCCCCCCCATCCCCATGCCCTCCAGACCCCCCTCTAATCTCAGGCGGCCCAGGATGTTCCTAAACAGCCCAAAGTCCTGCTCCTGGGCGTCTCGTCCTCACTGCAGACCCGGGTGCTGCACAGAATGGACGCTGAGAGAGGGGCTGCGGGAGAGTGGCCGGGCAGCTCCCTCGGAGAGGCCCCCGTGCCCCGGAAACGGCTATTGTCCCGCCCTGCCTGAGGCTGGCTCTTCAGGGGAAGTCCACCACTGCTCATCCACTCGCAGGATGGCCACCTGGGACCAGGGAACATGCCAGAAAAGCAGCCCAGGGCTCAGGGTCCTGCCCTGAGATTTCCGTTATCCTGGAGGTCAGGCTGGAGAGAGAGGCCAGAGGGCTCCTCTCAGCTGTCAGGGCCCCGCTGGGGCCTGAAATTGATGTCCACTTAAGTGGCCTCCCGCCTTGGAGAGAAAAAATGCGACCCCACGAAGCAAACCTGGTCTCTAAAACCGGCCGTCCTCTCAAACACACCACAGGTAACAGCAAAGCACCCTCCCCCCCAAAGCCGAGGCGCGTCTGAAGACCCGAGACCAGTTCCGACCCAGCCACACGGCTCTGGGCAGATAACTCAGGCGGCTCCAGGGCGCCCAGTTCCTTCCCTGAGCGTCCGCCACGTGGGCTCGCAGGGCCGGAGCCTGGGGCCCAGCCGTGGCCTCTGCTGATCCGGACAGCATGCTTGCTTTGTCAAAGAGGCGCCTGATGGAATTCCCTCTGCTTTTGATTGATTGGTTGGTTGATTTTAAAGAGAGAGAGAGAGAGGAAGGAAGAGAGAGAGAAATCAATTGGTTGTTCCAATTATTTATGCATTCACTGGTTGCGGGAATCAGACCCACAACCTCGGCGTATCAGGACGACTCTCTAACCCCCGAGCTACCCAGCCAGGGCTCCTCTGCTTTCTCGGCAACCTCAGGGGGGCAGGGGAGGAAGAGGATCCAAGAGCCACGAGCCCAATCTGAGGCAACACGCAAGCCCTCTAGGAGGTCACGTGGCCAAGGAGGACTCAGAGGCCCCTTCCGGACATGCCTAAAGCCCCCCTCTGCCCCTGGTGAGGTCCTGACCCCTCACCCCAGACCATCAAGCTCCACACCCAAGCAGCCCCCCCAAGCTTGCTCCTGAACAGTACTCACATGCCCTGCTCCCCGTACTGGTTGTAGAACTCCATGTGGCTGCACGCCTGGATCCAGCCCACTACCCAGGTCTCCTTCCTGGGGATGGGCGGCATGACCACCTGGGCCGAGGCACGGAAGTGGGGTGTCCGGTAGCGGAGCACCACGCTGGAGGACTCGTCGATGCTGGTGGGGACGGGGTCGATGGAGGCTTTCACGTCAATCACCGTGATGCCTTCCCGGAAGATTCTGCCTTTGCCCCCGATGCTCTGAATACAGCCCATGGCACACAGGACCGCTCTGAGCTCCAGGGAAGGCCAGCAGTCCCAGAGGAAACTGGGCATTGAAAGGAAGGAGGCCGCGGGACCCAGGGCAGACGGCACTGCTCTCCCACTTCGTCTCCTTCAGCTCTCCAGACCGATATCCATAGGATAGAAAACTCAATGGGCAGGGGGCGCTTGCATGTCACACCTCAGGCCTGTTTATAAATAAAGGCTTTGCTGCATTTCAAGGGTCCCGGGTTCTTCTCGCAGTGGACAAAAATCACCGATATTCTTTGGGTTAAAAAAAGGAAAGTTTGGATATTAGTGGATAATCATGTTCAGACATCCAGCCCTGCCGGGCCTCCACGCGGGAAACGCAGCTGCGAGACGCTCCCTGAAGTCTTCGGGGAAGAAGGCGACACGGGGACACATAAATAAGGCAGGCCCGTCCCGTCCGCCCGGCGCGGCGCGGCGCGGCCGCCACCCTCGCTGCAGAAGCGCGACTTCCTGCCCTCTGCCTTCCGCGCGCGCTCGGGACACTCGCCCGGCCCCTCGCCCCGCGGGCCGAATCAATGGGAGGGCAGTTTCTGTTCAGGCGCCGGAGGTCCCGGCTCCCTCGAGGGCGAGCGCCGACCCGCGCTTCCTGGAGGCGAGCGCCGGGCTCCGGCCGCCCGCGAGGTCCCCGTGGAGCGCGGCGGGCGGCGGGGGCCCTGGTCGGCGCCCACGGGAGGCGCAGCGACTCCCGATGCGGGCCGGGCTTTCCTCGTCGTGCCCGCCGTTTGGGGCTCCCCGGCTGCTCTGGACCCGCCGCCTCGGTCGCCGCCGCCTCCGAGGACCTGGTGGGAAGTGGAAGGGACAGGGCGTCAAGGCCCGCCCCGAAGTTGAGCCTAACTTTTCGCGGGGAGCGCGGGGGGCATCGACGAGTGTGCACAGGGCGCGGGCTCGGGGCAGACAGCGCAGCTCTGGGCGGTCTCCCCGGAAGCGGCCCCTCGCCCCGCTGCCCGCCCCGTCAGTGGCCGCCGCACGACCGCGCGTTCCAGCGAATAATCGCTGCCCGTGACATCTCCGCTGACACCATCCCGGCCGAGGACGGGGCGGGGGGGGGGCAGCACTGCAGTGGGCCGCGTGGACTTGCCGGCCCTGGCACCGCGCCCACCGCCTCGCCGCCCGCTCCCGTCCCCAGCCTGTCCCTCCGGCTCCCGGAGGGCGCAGTGCCACCCCCGCAGGCCGGTCTGAGCGGTCGCGCGCCCCTTCCCGGGCCGGGATCCCCCGACCCTTGGAGGGCACCGTGCCCTAGCCCCGCCGCATCTGTCCGCCCTCGTCAGCCGCGAGTGGCCCCGAATCCCCGCGCGCTGGGCACACTCGCAGCCGCGGGGGAACTTAGGCGCGCACGCCCCCACCCGGGCGGCGCCGGCGACTCACCTGCCCCTCGGGCCAATCCGCGAGCCCCGGCCGCCGCCCTCCGGCCGCCCCTGACCCCGCCGCGGGCACGTCCTCCGGGCGCCCCTACCCCCTGCCCCGGGCAGTGTCCTTTGGCTCTACTGGGGTCTGGGGCCGGCGTGGGCGCTCCTGGCCCCCACGTCCTCCTAGCTCGGGGGCACTGGGGGGCGAGGGGGCGGAGGGCTGAGGCTCGGGGCGCTCTCGCCCCCACCCCGCGCGCCTCCCTTATTTTATGATCATCGTGAGCCTGCAGTCGCCACTCAGCCCCGCCGCCGCGCCGCACCGCCCGGCGCGCCCCGCGCTGCCTCGCTCCGCTGCAGCATCGGAAAGGCAACCAGGTCAAACTTTGCAGAAACTCAGCCCCTACGCCGGCCTGGCCCCGCGTCCGCTTGCAGCCGCCGGCGGGAGCGCCGCGCATGCAGGCACCGACCGCACGCTCGCCGGCCCCGCGGGGATGCAGGTCTGCAGGCGGCGGCGGCGAGCGCCGCCTCCTCCTCGCCGCCCGCCCTGCTCTCCACCCTCGCGCCCCACACGCCTCCCGCCTTCCCCCTGGTAATCCTCTCCCCCTCTCCCGCCTCTCTCCCCCTGCAGCTGCTAGGAGAGCGGAGCCTTTCCTTGCATAAACGACATTTCCTTTTGGGCAAGCCCGGGGGATTGTGGGTAGTGTAGTTCGGCTTGTGTCTCGGGTCCAGGTAGCTGCTCCCTATGCCCTTTGAACTCACAGGCTTTGGGGGCGCAGGGCACACAGAGAAACGTCGCGCTGCCCTGATATTCCTGGCCCGGAAGGGCCGCGGCTGGTTGAAGCCAGGGCCGGGGCTGTGGGAGGCTCCAGGGCCGGGCAGGTCAAGATGGATACAGGTCGAGATGGATACGTCTAGGGAAAGAGCCCCTGTGCCCCTCCCTCTGTGCTGGGCCTCTGGGCACCTGACAGGCGGTCAGGCCTGTTGGACCCCAGTTGTGACAGGTGCTGTACCCCATCAGCATCTGTGCAGGAGAACTCTTCTGTGCATTTCACAGAGCAGGCAGCCCAAGCTGGGAGCCTGGGAGACTTGCCAAGCGGCCCAGCTGAGACTGGGGCCTGCTGGTCTGGGTACGGAGGTTCAAAAGGGCATTTGAATCTGATCGTGGGGGGGGGGGGAGCGTTGGGGACAGCTGTGATCCTCTCCGAGCACCCTCACACCGTTAGCCTCACCCTCACCTTGCAGCCACCCAGGGAGAGCGGGTGGTTTGTGGCATCGGAAAGCCTTGCAGCCACATTAGAGCTGTTTCCTCCCCCCATGACTCTGACTCCCAAAGGTGCCCG